TAAAACAATTAAGAAATCAACATACATTCATCTAGACTTTTTTAAATAATGAAAAATTACTATTTTTATAATTGTTTACTAATTATTATTAAAGAAAACGATGTCATCGTCGAATCTAGCTGACGAGGGTCTTATTCGAAAGAGGATTACTTACTGTATGCATTGAAGCTAATTTCAAGATATTTTATGTGAATTACGTTTTCTTTTGGTTGCTTTACTACAAGAAATTGGAAACAAACAATTAGATGTTACTAGCATTGCTCAGAAAGTGAATTAGTTTGATCACTTCAGAATCATAAAGATGGAATTAAATGGACGAATAAATTAATTCACTTTGAAGAGTGCCGAAAGGTACAATATTCTGGAATAACTACTAATGTTTACAAATCTGCAGAAAACACTTAATGTAATATAATGCCATTATCGTCCGTCGTTAGCTATGATTTCTGTAATAACACTAGCGGTCAGTCGGCGATATCTAATTTTTAGTAAACTTTTAGTTGTTGTTTCGCTTCCAAATACTAGTTCAAAACGAGAAAAGTTATTATTATAAGTATTTTGAGAAGAATTTTAGTGATTTTTTTATTTTATTAGGCAGAACGGTTCCGTGAAACTCAATGAATATTTTTCTTATTACTTCAGATGAAGTAGCAACGATTCATCGACATGAATCTCGTCGTTTGTACTTTCTAGAAAGTGTTGTTTTTTTGAAAAAGTAATGATGATGACGAGAGAAGCAGCATTATTTCAATCCATTTGGATCATTAATCGGTGCAATGCAGAAAGATCATCCACAACCAATCAATGTGATCTAAACGATATATTCACGAATAAAATGACGACGAATACGACAGAAGATGTGTTCAAAAACCTGATGTGTTCCGTTCTTTATTTTGCAACTCCATCTACACAAACAGCAAAGACTACTACTATGAACACTATATCCAAAGGAAGCAGTGCTCATCCGATATTCTGCCAACTTAGCAAATTAAAATTATTAACTAGAGAGGGTCCATCTCCACATCCTATACTAGTTTGAAGTACAGAAGTTGTACTATATACTGATGTATTTTCTAGAAAAAGACCCCTTTTACTTTTTGAGATATCTGACAATCAATATTGATGATTAACGCTTAATAAATCATACTTTGTGCTTTTAATTCAGCAGCTAGATAAACTCTTTTTGACTATCCGGCTTTCTCTGCGGGTCATGATAGTCAGAGGTAATGTCTGTTCAAATTTTACTCATTAAGTAAAATAAAAAGTTAAAGTCAGAGCTTAAACTCGGCAGAATGTATTGTGTCGAGTTCAATTTTAGTAGTTTCACCAGAAAAAGTAAAATTTGGACATAACGTCCGTCTAAATACCATTGTTCGCTGGGCAATCAGGAAAACTTTGATGAGCGAACCTAATTCCATTTCGAGTATCGTCGCCATCTTTATTTCATATTTTATTCCAACCACGGACAAAGGTGACCAGGCTAGCGATGACTGTTCAAAACCATGCTCTTCGGAAAGAAAAGTAATCAAATCTTTTCAAAAACAAAAACAAATCTTGAAATGTGTGTCAAGTAGTGCTCTATTTTTGCCGTATTCAGATTGAAATCTACGAAGGATCCAAAGTTAGTCCTGATCCAGCGGTGTCCTTTTTAATAAGTTTTGATGAGAAATTTTGATAACTATAATGACATCAAACGCTTTTATATTCGTAATTTAGTTAGAATCTGTGACAGAACAACGTCATATTCTTTTGTAGTCCCTAGAAAGATCGTATTACAGAAGCGCTGAAATCTATCATATCTTCAGCCTTATAATTTGAAAAAAGGATGCAAAAGAAGGCAGGAAGAGTAAACAGAAACCAATGCAATGCCCACAAACCGAGGAGGTAGTATTAATTATGGAATTTACTGCGAAATGCAGAGCGAACGACTGACCGTTGTCTATCGTGAAGAAACACCGCCTATCTTCGATCGACTTTCGATTCATCGACTAGTCTTCTATCTACTCGATGAGAATAATCAAGTGATATCACACGAAACCATGACTCATACAGTATTCAACAAGCAATCGTCACTCAAACAACTCATCTAACTCAACTATCATCGACTGGCCAATGCTCGATCTGCACGTGGTAAAAAGTTTGTTCGACTTGATGCTTACCGAATGACGAACAGTTCTGTTCATCTCACATCTTTACATTGGTTCTATCCAATTTAATTTTCATCTTTTCTATCGGTCAGTGTGATCAGAAACTCTCGACACAATTGTCATTCGACATTGTCGAGATGTGCATTGTCGAGAACCATGCATTCTGCCTCTGTGCTCACGGTCGAATGAGTCCCAAATGTCAAATACCATTAGATGCTTGCTCGTCGATCCACTGTCAAAATTATGGTACATGCGTTTCACTGGATACACGAACGATTTCTCAAGTGTGTATATGTTCATCACTTCATTTCGGCGATGTATGTCAATATTCATCAGCACAGTTAACACTGGATATTCCATCGACTATGAAACATATTCCCGTAATGAATCTTCATTTTCTGCACACTTTACCAACAGTGTCGGGAGTTTTAATCCATCGAAATGTTCCTCCTCATAGTCGCCTGATTATCAACGATATCGGTCAACAATTAGGTCAAACAATTAGATCAACTCGATTATGCTTGCGCATGTCCTCAATGCACAACAGGAGCATATTGTCAAATAGAAATGAGTCAATTCTCATCGACACTTGATTCGATGTTAGGCGACAAGCTTCCAAGGAAGAAACAGCAGAATTCCAAGCGGTTGTGGACTCTCAGACCTACAGAAGCCTGAAGAATCCTATACAAACTTCTCAAAGTTCGAGAAACTGGAGGAATCCCGGGAGTACAAGAAAAATAGGAAGAACGGATTAGAATCCGATGAAATCCCGAAAATCTGTAAAAATGACTGAAAATGGGGCTAAGCGGGAACAACGCGGGAAAATTCAAAAATAGTCTGGGAAATTCTTCGGGCTCGGGGGGAGCACAACAAAATTAGAAAAAATTGATTGCCTGTGGAACGGAGCCCAGATTACAAAAGTCACAAATCTGCTGTTTCCCCCTTGCACGCTTCTCACCGATGTTCCTCTTCATTCACAACCAACAACGATCAAAGTAGTTCTTAATTGTCATCTCGCTCATGTTCGCCGTTGGTGTCGTTTCGAATGTCTGCTCGGCTATCACTTTCATTCGTCTCTCTCATTCGATATTGTCTCACTTCATGTTCATCTCTGTCAACGACATTGAGAAATCTTTTATCATCCATTGCCAACCCAACACAATCAATTTTTTTTATAAGAACTTTTCCAGTTGTTTTATTCTTGAGAGACCATTGTACTACTCGTTTGTTGGTATTATCAGAGATGATGAGACTGTCTGTTTCTCTATCGACAATCACATCGAGTGGCTCATTCAGTTGATTAAGTTGACTTCCTTGACCATTTCCACCAGCAACAACAACACCACTCGTTGCATTCGGTCTCCATGCCACAATTCGGTGGTTCTCAGAATCATCTACATAAACAGTGAAATCTTCAGCCACAAAGATTCCCCGTGGGTAATTTAATTGTTGAAGAGAATCACCTTGACCATGTCCATCAGCAACTGTTGTCGCATTTGGTAACCATTTTGCATTAGTAGGAATAATTTCAGGTCCAATAGGTTCTGATGCTTGTTCAATTGAGACGAGTTTTTCACTACGATTGTCATCACTTAATTTTTCTTTTGACCTCTACTAGTTGTTAAGCCCAGGTTCTTTAATTAAGCGAGACAAGAAAACTCTCTCAGTTTCCTAAATTAAACAAAGTGCCAATTTACTGTGTGTAGTATATTTAAAATAATGCTGAAAAATATATATAGAAGAATAACAAGAAGTAAGGAGACCACTAACTGGTCCGTCGACTTACTAACTCTGTATTCAAAATACACTCGAACTAACTATATCAAAATGTGGGGTTCCCGAATTTCGCCAATAAGACTTTCGCCAACAGAACATTCGCCAATGGCGAAAGTGCTGCAGTTTATTGGCGAAAGTTCAGTAGACGTTCGCCAATTGGTGAAAGTACAAGAACACTTCGGCCAATTGACTAAAAAATGCAATTCCATAAGGTATGTTGGTGAAAGTACGATGGAATTTCGCCATTGGCGAATGGCCAGTTGGCGAAAGTCTTATTGGCGAAGTTCCGGTAACCCCATAATGTGTGCTTCTTATATATATATCGAAAGAACAAAGACATGTGACATAAAAGAAAAAAAGGAAAAATAGAGATGGCTAAAGATGATGTAATATATAGACCTAGAATAATAGTGATCACAACTAGACAAAAAACAATAGATGAATGAAATAAAATAGACGAAATGGAAAAAAGAAAATGAAAGTAGAGGGATGAAATTGAAAATAGAGTGATGAAAAAAATGGACTGCAGTCCGTATAATATTAAAACGATAACGCGCACACACATATGTGAAACGAGGTAAGACAAAAATAGAAAACTAAATCCTAAAGAATACGCTAGGACCAGAGCATTAGACTTAACACCCTCCCTGCCCCAGAAGGAAGTAACATCCATCCGAAAGATATAACGACTAGAAGAAGAAAGACAAACGGTCCCGGAAAGATGTAAAAAATAGAAAAGAGAAAGATATAACGAAAACAAACAAAAAAAGAAAACAGACGATTGCGTGAATAAATGGACTTGTAATTGTACTGCAATCACCACCCAGTACTCACGGCTGCGGCTGACTTTGCTGTTGCTGTTGTGCTCCAAACAATTGCACAAAATGTCGACGAGTAAAATAAAATGACGATAAGGACGTTTCATAGTTGTGGAGATTATCTGACCCTTTAACACCTATATGCAGCCACTGATGTTGCACTATTACTACTCGTCTCCACGATAACGAAAACAGGTTTTATGATTTATAACAATGATTCAATAATAAATTAATCGAAGAAAAAAAGGAAACACCTGCTGCCCAACAAAATCCAACTAATTTGAAGCAAACGACAATTTATAATTTTCGATACTACATCGTTTTTCCGTTACTACATGTCTAGGTGGAATTACTACCACATAGGAGGTATATCTTTTTTCTCCTCTTTTTTATTTTTGTTTTCTCTACTTTTTCTAATTTTCTGGAAAATGTTTTCCACTGCTCTCTGTGGATAACCGCTGTTCCTTAAAATTTGTTTCAACTCTAACATATCTCTTTCATTTTCTTTATTGTTATAACATATTTTTATTCTTTTTACCATATTGGTAATTATATTTTGCTTCATCGCATAGCTATGATCTGAATCGAAATTTAACGCTTTTGCGCTAGCTGTTGGTTTTCGAAGCCAACTAGTTTCTATTGTTTCACTTATGTGATTTATATGAATACTGACATCCAAAAATGCTATCCTGTGTTCTACTTCGTATTCAAACGTGGATTGTAAATCGTTCTTACTATTTAATCTGCTACTAATTCCTGGATTTTCTTTTTATCCATTTTTGAAACTAACACTATATCATCAACATATCGTGCTAATCCAATATAAGGATACTTTTGATAATTCCAGTTATAGAGTAAAAATTCGTTTAACGCTATGACTGCTAAAAATGGCGAAGACCTTTAACCTGTTTATAAAAATTGTTTCCAAATTAAAAGTTAACATTTTCTTGTTCAAAATTCAACTAATCTGATTAGACTTTCTTCTTTCAAACTGGTTTTAGTCTTCCACGACTCATCGTTATCTAACAATTTGCTAAAATTATCTAACGATTTCTTTCGATCAACCGAAGTAAACAAGTCGCTAACATCTAAACTCGCTAGTTTACTGCTTTTCATAACTTTAAGTTTGTACAACTTGTTTATTAAGTCTTGTGTATTCTTGACTGAACGTGCGCTATCCGCTAACGATTTTATTATATTTATGATATATTTTGCCATTGATGAGCCTATCGTTTCTCTCATCGATACTATTAGTCACGTTGATTTCGCTTCTTTATGAACCTTTAACTGTCCACGAACAAACGGTAGATGTTTATTTTCGAGTAGCATATCCATTTCATTTCGTTCTATCTCTTGTTTACCGACTAATTCTGATAACAGTATTTTTAATCTTTTACGTATACCTTTCGATGGATTTTCATCTAATTTCTGATACGCTTTTGTGTCTAATTTCTCGCTTATTTTCTTAATGTAATCTTCTACGTTCATGACTACAACTTTTCCTTCCTTATCTGCTGGTATGATGATGATGTTTTCATCTTCTTTTAACGTTTTTATCACTTTTCGTTGACTTCTCGAGAGATTTTTGTATCTTCCTTTTTTATCGACCCCTAGCTGTTGTTCTAACATTCGTTTCACATCACTTGCAATATGTTCTTTATCTTCTAAACTCTTTTTATGAGTTTAGGACTTTAGTTTAATTAATGTTTGTTATCCACTGAAGAAGATTGAACTATCAATCGAAACGTTTAAAATAAATAAAGAAATAGTACCAAGAAAAAGTAATTAATTAATATATATATGAATTAATATAAATATATGAAAACCATACCCATCCATCTAGAATAAATATATTCCAAGCTGCATGTCTCTCAACACTTCTCTACAGCTGCGAGGGCTGGGTCATCACTAGTAAACTCGAACAAAGCCTTAACAGCTACGCCACCAGCTGCTACAGAATCATGCTCAACATCAAACGTTTGGGCAAGGTATCAAATCAAACAATCTACAAAACAATTAGAATCGATCGCCTAGTTTTACAGGTCCAACGGCGGCAACTCAGATACGTTGGACATTCTCTGCGAAGAAGAAAAGACGACCTGATTCACAAGTATGTCCTCTATTCGCCCAAAGAAAGCAACAGCAAACGAAAATGTGGCGAACCACGCCTATTATATCCGGCATATATTGGCAAGCTCATCAACAGTGAAACGCCGCCATCGATCAACGAGTTACCGCCAGCTGCAAACAACAGGGAAAACTTCGTCGATATTGTTGACCGTAGTTATTTGCAGTCAACTGATGATGATGATGACTGGACTTATTCACCGTTGAGTATTTCTGTACTCATTTATTTCTTGTAGTGCAACATTGCCGTTTTAAATTTCTTTCTCTTCATAGTTTTACTTACAGCTATTTGTTGTATACACAAGACAGAGTTAGTCAAAACATACAAATATCATTTTTCAGTAACATACTTAACTTTGAAATGAGTATAAGGAATATAGTGCTCTCATAGAGAAAGAGAATGTATGCACAGCTTATAAAAAACATGCTAGATGGTAAAATACGTGACGTTGTGAGTATACTTGGATTAGAAAACAGACCGTCGATTACGGTTATGCGATTTTGCGGTTAGATAGAGGTACCGAGCGAAGCTGCTAGCTGTCTTATCACTTTACTGTTTTTCCTTGGCCCTATACAAGAATTTTTTGCTAAAACTGACAGGATTCTTATAAGAATCTTATCAGTTTCTTATATAAGATTGTTTAAGATTTCCCATCGACAGTCGTAAGTGTCTTATAAGAATCGTATAAGATTTTCATAAGAGGCTCGTAAGAAAAACATAAGAAGAACCAAAAATTCTTATGTTGTTAATATGTACTAGAAGGTATCTTATGAGTCGGCTTTTACGATTTCTGTTATGATTAAGTTACTTCTACTTGTTCTCAAATCTTTTGGGCTAGTATTGGCCGTAACGGTCATTTATTCTGATGACTTGTGAGCCGTATTCACAGAACTGTTATTTTTAAAAATATAAAACTTTTACTAGGATGTATTAACTAGTTAATCGGGCAATATTTTACGCATAATTTACATTCCTATCTAAAATAACTTGATATAATAACACAAACAGAGTAAGCACTTATAGCCTAATGGTTAAGATCGAGCAGCTTAATGGAAGATTACGAGTTCGATCCTCGTTAAGTACGATTTATCTTTTTATGAACCTCGTATGAAAATCTTATCTGATTCTTATAAGACACTTACGACTGTCGATGGGAAATCTTAAACAATCTTATATAAGAAACTGATA